GTGTCTATCACTCGCTTCTTTTGGAGTGCTTGGCCGAGAGCAGTCGTCCTCCCTCTTTAGAAGATCACCACGGCTGCGTGAGTCTCAAGCGCTCCGCCGGTGGAGTCTTTCCAAGAGACATGTTGTGCTCTTTGGAAACCTTCTTAGCCTTTACCTCCTGGTCCAGCTCCATGGCTGTATCCATCAGCTTGTAGAGGACGATGAAGGGAAGGTTCTCAATCTCGACCTCCAGGCGATTCTTTTCGTCGAATAAGTCAAACTTGCCCTTGCTAAGGTCATCGGCAGGTTCATTCTGCTCCCTGGGAATCCAAGCCAGGGATAAATCTAGTTTGTACTTGTCTAGTTGGCAGGCCAACTCCATCAGCATTAAGGATGCTGGAAACCGCGTGGTGATGAACCGGTCCAGCAAGTAAGCGTTGCTCAAGTTGTCCGTGAAGCCAGTAACCGAAGCTCGTCCTGCTCCGGCTTGCCACTTTGAGCCCTTGCCGAAGACGATCACCGCCACCGTCACCGCCAAGAGCTCAGACGTCGAAATCGTCTTGAACGGTTCGCCCTTCATGCGCAGGTAAGGGGCATTCTTGCGCGTCAACTTCACATGAAACCATCGTGCAAGCTTCGGGTTGGTGGTCTCGGACGTCTCCCATCCTCCTATGGCCACACCTGTCTGGTCCGCCATGGCGTCAACCCGAAACACCTCACCCAAAACGTTCGACCGAGAGCTGGCGCATGGGTTCCGAGCCTATCATCTCTTCAAAGAACCTAATGGCCAACTTCGTGGCCAGATGAAGTTCAAAGTACCCACCTCCTGGTACCCGTGAGCTGGCTGCATAAAGAGGAGCCAGGAAGGGGCGAGCGTACTTGGCGGCACCCGCCAAGAAGCCCATGCGACCAAGGCCAGCCTTAAACTCTCTGCCTAACATTTTGCCCACCGTCCTGGCCCACTGTGACCAATGCCTCAACCATTCCAGCTTCTTTTCGCTAATGCCGAGGCGCCAACCCTTGATGTCCAGGGAGTAGCCAATCCACTCCACTTGCCAACCTCCTCGGGTCTTAGCCCAGGACAGGGGCACCTCCATCAGGTCGAGGAAGAGGAACATGCCCAAGATCCAATCCACATAGCGCTCCCCTCCCGAGAGGACCAAGCCGTCGTCGGCGAAGAGCAACAGGTAGAAGAGGGCCTGTGGAGGAAGCACCCTGTGGTAAACACGGAACAACAGGCCCGCCACTCGGCCCCACGAGAAGGCCGCACTTGCGACCCCAAAGGTGCCTCACGTGTTGAGGAGGATCTCTTCACTGTCGTCCAGCCGACATGCCCGAAGGCCCCAATCGCGTTGGTGAATTGGGACCAAGCGGTGCGCAGACTTGACATCAAATGCCAAAAGAGCCCGAGAGTGGGGATGGGCCGCGCGAAAGGCCTTTAGGGCGCAGTCAACATCGTCGAACTGCGGAAACATCATCTTGTTGGGCTGAACGATGTGGGTATTGACTTGTAAGTAACCCATGAGTCCCATCATGAACCACTCGAACATCGCTCCACTCGCAGTCTTTGGGAACTGCACCCAGCGAAGCCACCTGGAGGTCCCCGCCGTATTGCTCTTGGGCCGTGGCCAGCGGCATGCGGACCATCCACCCCTTCTTGACATCAGCCTTCACGTGCTGCTTGACCTTCTCCATGTGGTCCCTCGCGGAGGCGTAGTTATCCCGGAGGTTGGGCGAGCCATCTTCCTCCTCCCAAGTCGGCGGCGGAACGTCCTCTCCCTTCTTCTCCTTCTTCTCGTACACCGCCTCCACCCAAGGAATCTCCCCCCGGGTACCTAATGCCACTCCTGTAGCCGCCATGTCCTCCAGGAACCTAGAATCAGCGTCTCCTACCGCCAAGGCCCAGGCCCGCAACTGCCTGAACGCAATCTCCGACACGCGGTCTCCTTCACGACGGCGAGGATCAAGTCGGTTCGCGAGCAAGAGCCTATCCAGCCGTTCCTTGATGCCCTCCACGACCTCCACGAACGGTCAACATGACCGTCGGCCCAAGGCGATCAGCCTGAGCCGTTGTGCTTTGGACAGGGAGCCCGCAAAGACCTGCACCTCCTCCCAAAACGCTTCGCTCAGCTCCGCCCCCAGTCCTGTCCAGACCCACTCCACGATGTCCTGCAGGTCGAATACCTGCGAGGCCCAGCCCGTCAACCATCTTGCGGGCTTTTCCCTTGTACCAAACCTGGAGATGAGCCCAGGGACGTTCACCTTGTGGAGCTGGGAGCTGCTTGCGACGTTTGGGTTCCATCACCTGGTCCTCCTCCAGCCCTGAAGTGGGTGGTGCCGAGGTGGAGGCCGATGAAGAAGGCGATGCCGAGGTCAAACTTGACGGAGGTGCCATCGTACATGCCGAAGATGGGCTTGAAGAGGGCGCCGTACATGCCGAAGACGGGCTGGAAGAGGGTGCCGATGGCGAACTTTGAGGCATTACCGAAGCCGCCTTGGACGCCCGCTTTAGAAGGGCTGAGAAAATGCCGTTCGCAAGCCATGAATCCATTGCTGGAGGGCTGCGGAGGTGGCGTCTTACGAATCAACGTCTGGTGAGGTTTGAGGCACCGACAACGTGGCGGGAGAGGTCCTAAGTAGTGGCCATTTGCATCCAAGCATGGCAGACCATCCCATAGTTTGGAGTTGAGCTCAACAATATTGCGCAACAGCCGTGTTGGCTTGGGCGACGATGCGCCGAAGGCACACTGGAAGAAGGCTCCCGAATAGGCCTGATTGGCCGCGACCCAGCTGCGAATGGGGAGCAGCCGCCAAATTGACGCCGGTCTCATACCTGGGCTGTAGCGTGGCGTCGCCCCCAGGTCCTCCGGATGTTCCAGCAGAAACAAAAGGTCCAGCTTAAGACAAATAGTCAGGGCTTGCAAAGAAAGATCCACCATTGAATTAGCTTGCGTGACTTTGCGCAGCCTCCAGCCTTCTAACCACGGAAATCCGTAGGGGTGCATAGAGCTGCGCAATGGGCGCGGTCCATGAACATTCGCCCAAGGAGCGCGTGACCAAGTGCCGCAAGGCGGCGAAGCAATCACAACATCATAGTAGCCGTCCTCCAATTTCTTCAAGATGGACTGGCGAAGATCATCACCTAGTAAATCATGACTGGGGTCTCTAAGGATGTCAAAAGCATCAACTTGAAATCTGACTGGCTTCTTGGAAGCTTGCGCCAACTGATGCAACCTCTCAGGAATCCCCGTGGAACGCTGAGGACCTGAGAAAAGGTAGAGCACTTTGAATTCCTGCACAGGTTCATGCATGGGTTGAGCGGGACCTGAAGTCCCTAGTCACGAATCCTTCGACTCCGATGGGTGCTCAAACGAGGGGTGGCTGGTGTCCAAGCAAATTCGACAGGCATGAACCCGATTGCAGCCACCCTTGCAGCCTTCTTGGGGGTTGTTCCAGGCAAAACACAACTGACGTCCGTCCGGGGTGACAGCATGAAGTGAAGCCCCCCCGACCCTTCGACTTCCCCTTTCCTTTCTTGGACTTTCCTTTTCCTTTTCCTTTTCCCTTCTCTGTGGAAGGTTGTCCGTAGGGATGTTGGCGATCTTGTGCACGATTGCGACCGCTCCAGGGCTCTTTGAAGGCCTGAGATGCCGAAGACACCGCCAATGGAGTGCTGAAGTAGCGCTCTCTGACATCTGCATTCTTCACCACCTCACGCAAGGCCTGCGTCCAGGACATGCCCTTATTGACTTCATCCACCGCGTCCTTGCGCATCTGGTACTCGTAGCTCATGATCAACTTGAGCGAGGGACGATGAAGTGGCACGTCATCAATTGTGACCGACTCCAGCTGCGCCACGTTCTTGCTGCAGATGTAGTTCAAGTACTCAATTGACGTGAAGGGGGAGATACCATCTAAAACCTGCTTGTGAGGGTAACGGAAAAGGGCGAATATCAGGTGGTTCACAACCAAGTTCATCTTCGAGCGGAACTCCTTCCATGTTGGTGGGCATGCTGGTCTCCACTCTGGACTTCTTAATCCTCACCTGCCCTGTCTTGCCCACCTGCAAGTTGCCCGTCCCCGCCTCGTCCTCTTCTGCCCGCGAGCCAAAGTGTCTCAGCGCCATAGCCCTGAACTCACCCCATCGATCTGCTCGCACGTCCTCGAAGCTTGGCTTGCCCGGGCACTCCGAGTCCTTCAACTTATAAAACTTCCTCTCAAACTCACTGCGATAGAGCTGCATCTCTACCCCCCGGAACCGCCTTCGGCGTCTTGTGCGTGACCGCCTCCGCGTCCATCTCATCCATGGCCACCGTCCTCTTCACCGCCGACTGCCATGTCAGGAACAAGGCAGCAAACCTGATGGCGTCCGCCGGGCGAACTGCCACATCAATCCCCATCTCGGACTTGGCCAGGTCCAAGAGGGACGCCCCATCCGTCGCAATGGCCGACAGCATGGCTATCGACTTGACCCCATTGTCATACAATGCCTCCTGCATTGCTGCGTCCACCCCCCAAGCATCTAACAGCCCTTGGAAGTCGGGCTGAAGCTCTGCGATCTTCTCGGCCTGGGTCAGCCCCGCCATGCCTCCGCGCCTCCTAAACCCCACTGCGGGGGAGTCTCCGTCCACCGTGGATCGTCCCTCCAGGACTGGCCTCATGAGAGGCCCCCTCAACCCGACTTGAACCGAAAGCCGGTTCGAAGAGTCCACCAACCCTGAAGTCCGAACGAACGAACGACCGAACTCACCACCGACCAGAAGGTGCCCCTCCAGGGCCCGCCCTGCTCCCCAAGCGCACTTTTCCCGACATCATTTCAGATGTCATCATCCGACACGTCCTCGCTTGAGGAGGACTCCGAGGATGTCGACTGCTCAGCCTCCTCGCCGGTCGTCAGGGCCTCGGCGATCTTCTCCTTCGGGGTGAAGCACGTGCTGCGCAACCGCTCCCCGCACTCGGCCGAGATCTCTGGGCGTTCCATGCCAACCACGACGTACTCGCGGTAGTGGACACCAGGAACCCTGTAGCATCCTCCCATGATATGGAGGGTGCGGCGCTTGGTACGACCCACCACCGACACGATGAAGGTGCCCAGCGGAAACCTTTCCCCTGGCGGGATGTCATCCATGCCCTCATCATCCGAGAACACCTCCGTGGGGGAGTCCACGAACTGCACCTCCATCTCCTCTTTGGCCACCAAAGGCTTCTTGACCAACTTCACCGGCCCCTCGCCCATCCCCCCCCACATGGGAGGGGAGATTTTCAAACTCTCCAGGTGCGATTCCGTGACCGTCTTGAAGCGCACCGTCTGCAACCAAAGCGAGAAGCCGTTGAGCACCGACCGGTCGTCCACATAGTCAGTGATCCCGTACTGGCCCCGGATCTTGCTTGCCAAACCAGCCTGGGCTGTGGTCACCACCCTCTTCGTGGTCACTGCATACTCTTCATCCACTCCAGGCGACCAGCGTCCCCAACGCCTCCTGGTCTCACGGACCTCGGCAATCAATGCCCAGCTCATGATGGTGACCCGCTCGCTATGCTCACTCCAGTAGGAGGTAGATTCGGGGTTCATCAACTTGTACATGTTGCCATCACCATCCGTCCTGGCCGAGTGGAGCTCCGTCAACAAGGCACGGGGGAAACACATTGCGTCCGCATACCTCATCATGGAGGGCCTGAAGCCTTGGAGGTTGTCGGTCGGCTTGCACATGAGGAAGTCCCTGTTCCCCATCTTGACGTCCCGGTTCATGGTCATGAAGAGCTCTAAACCGACCCTCAACCACTCCTTGGAAACCAACCACGCGTCCTTGGAGATGTGGAACTGGACGATCTCAACGCGGCGGCCGACCCCCGTTGTTTTCCCTCTCACTATATCTCCTTGGAGCCCGACCGCCTCACCGAAGGTCAACGTAGCAGGGGGCACCCCCTTGGCGTCATGCGAGCGGAGCGCTCCCCAAAGTTTCAGAAGCTTAAACCAACAAAAGACCCTTTTGAACTTCTGTAAACTAACATCAAGAACCCCCATCTCCCAAGCCCGCGCAACTTCGAGCGGAACGCGCGCTGCTTTCACCCTCTGGTGAGGTGCCCACGAGTTGCCCTTCGAGACCTCCATCAAGTAGTTGTGGACAGCTTGCGAACTAGTGAGACGCTTTTCACTAGGCACTTCAGCTGCCATTTCCATAAAGGCCACGGCCTTAAATAAAGATTGGCACGCTGCGCCCGCAGGGTTCTTCAAGGAGAAGGGCCACGTACCCGATGAAGTCCGAGTACCCGCGAAGCCATGAGACTCTATCCATGTAGACCTGCAACCTCCGCCCATACTTCACATGTTGGCGGATGGTGGGCGCACGGCGTCCCATCGCACAGCGTGGCCTCCGCATTCTTTGAGGTGGTGCCCAAGAAGCCGGCATCCTCCAACAACTGCAGGAGCTCCTTGATCCAACGACCACGTTCCGCCTCCTCGATCTTAGCGCGCTGCTGCTCACCGGTGACCCCTGCCAGGGCCTTCTGGAGCCTGGTCTTCCAGGTGACTCTCGGCAGAGCCTTCCGAGCTAAAGCCAGTGTAGTCCCGGCCTCCGCCGCTATGGCCGAGGGAAGCTGGGCCAACTTGGCGTCCACGATCGAGGTGTCCTTGAACAGCAGGCGCTGATGCAGGTAAAACTGGTTGTCTTCGACGTCCATCCATCGTCTCTGTCTTTTCGCTTCTCGAAGGAGGTCCTGGTAGTCGTCCTCCTTCCAGTCCTGGGTGGCAACGGGCAACATCTCGCGGATCTCGTCCCTTGGCATGTCATGGAAGAACGCCAGGGACTCCCGCTGCCACCCTTGGGCCACCAACTGGCCCACACATCCAGCAAGGGCCATCGCAACCCCGGCCCCGAACCCACGTTTGGGCCCAAGCTACGTTATCGACACGTCATGTCGACGTTTCCTACGTTCACTTACGACTGGAACAAATATGCATACTGAATTTCATCAGGCAAGCGTGCCCAGAAAGGCAGCGCTACAGTTCTTCTGTGTAGTAGATGATCAATCATAGTTTTACTCTTCCAAGACTAGTTTACTTCGTCACGGACTACAGCCCCAAAGCAATGTTAGAAGTGGTCAAAGAGCCGCATGGCATCAAAGACTAATAAAGGAGCTAGCCTCAACACACAATTGAATTAATCACAAAAGGACAAAACGAGCAAAACAATCATGTGTTGTGGCAGATGTCCTTGTTGAAGTCGACGTCCACAAAGTCCTGTTTGAACTCCTGCATCTGTGCTACGGTCACCTGAGGATGCAAGTGGTGTAGGAACTCATTTCTGATTTCTACAAATGTGAGCTCGCCGCTGGCTTCGGAGTGCTTAACTCCATCTCCTGGATGTGTGTCGGAATTTGAATCCTCGGTTTTTGAAGTCGAATCGATCCGAGTTGAGTCTTGTCTGCCGAGACAATGGCAAAGGTTCTGCAGCTGCCCCGAATAGTGCAAGGGCAACTGACAGACCTCAACAAGCATTGAGAAGATTTCTGAGGACAAAGGTGAATGAAATGAATCTAAAGTCCTACAAATCACTGTTAATAGACTGCATGAATCGCAAGTTGTTGACTGCCTTGCAACGGCTTCATCTGGGCCGCAAGTTTGCTGAAAGGATCTTCTACCAATTATCTTAGACTTGGAGAGATCAGAATGTTGCAAAAGTGAACACTTTTTGATTTACATCGCAGGATCTGATGAATGAGCCTAGAAGCACTTGCAGGTCTCTTGTCGCCTTTCTTGACAAAACCATAGATCAGGCTTGAGCCAGGAAACCTTACTCAACTAGGTTGGAGGCCATCGCTAGGTTGGAGGCCATTGCTATTAGTTAAGTTTCCCTAAAAATCTAGCAACCACATGAATAGTGAGCGCTTCTTCAAGGAAGCTCCCCCCGCCTGAGAGTGCAGGGGGAGCTTCCTTGAAGAAGCGTGAGCTATCCTGCGCCTTAGGTAGTAGCTACTTAAGGTACTAGCTACCTAGCTTCTACTAGCTACCTAGTTGCCTCCACCGCCTACCCCCCCGGCCTCCTCCCCGGGCTTTAAAAAAAGAAAAGACATGTGTTTTCTTTGAATTCATCAAGTTGCTCAAGAGGTCACCTTCAAGGCCCTTCAAGGCCAAACGACGCACACATTGCACCCGCTGCTTTTGCTCGGAAACAAATGTCCTTGCCCAGCTCCCAGAAGCAAAAAGCAGGGGGCGCCGAAAAGAAGCCCAAGCGGCCCCAGCCCTTCAAAGGTCAGGCCATCTTGGATGGAACTCCAAGATGTGAGCAGCAAAGTGTTCAAAGATGTGAACGGCTCCAAACCTCTGTGTACTGCGCTAGGGAGACTCCCAGCCAAACGGCCAAGTCCATCGTTAACACTGCATCCACAAACCACACCTGCCAGGCTCCTTCCCGCAAGATCGGACCATCTAGGTCTCTAGATCGGCACTTAAAAAATATCATGCCAAAAGAGCGTTGGGTGAAACTCATGGAGCTCACCTGGACTCCTCCCAACCTCAGTGTTCAATTCAGAGGCCTCACAAAAGACCTACTGGACCCAAAAAGGGTCCGACGTGAGCGGTCTGAATGAACACGGCCCCATGCAGAGGGGAAACCTCCGGTGAGGCTTTGCTTGGCTTGAGACTCAAATGGGACAAGCAAGAAGCCTTCAAACATCAAAGGGGAAGACCGGATAGGTCGTTGCTCCTTACCACTAGGAGCAAAGACGCTACTAGGGGCTCCTGGCCTTACTACTAGGAGCAAGGACGCTACTAGGGGCTCCTGGCATCGCTACTAGGAGCAAGGACGCTACTAGGAACATCTCGGTTTTACTCGGCTCATGAACCATCATGAACCTCTCGCAAACACCCCATGTTTCACTCTGGCGATCTGCCAAGATGCAGAAGAACAGAAGAACTCTACGTTGGTGGCCTTCCAGGCCTCAGCCGCTAGGCGGCAAAATGTGATCGTGAGATATGGAAGAGTATGGAGATATCTCCGAAGGCCTACAAGGGCCTACAAGTGTCTTCCAATCACTTCAACTCAACCAGCACATGCCAGCACTAAGAACCCAGCCCACTCCCTACCAGTTTTTTTTTCGTTTCCTTCAGGATCCGTCAGCGGCTTTAAAAATTCCTCTTCAGAGCAGATGTGACGTTTGCAGAGGAAGTCTTCAACGTCCACCCCTTTTGAAGGCTTTGGACTCCAGAGCGCTGATGAAAACGCTAAAGATTCCAAGTGCTCCTTCATTGTGTCCTCAATGCTTTGCAAGGGTGTCCTGGTCACCGTCAGGCGTTGATTTTTTCGCATGCTGGCCATCAAACTGCAAACGACAAAACTAAGTGGTGGTCTCTGGCAGTCGCTCTGCCGCTCTTGCCAAAGCATCTGTGCATTCTTGCGTTGACCTGCTCTCGAACAGCATGATTCCAGACCAAAACAAGGCAAACCATGAGCACTTGTAGATTCGAGACTCCTGATCTCTGAAGTGATCAAGCGACCTAAAATGTTCAAAGTTACAGTTCATCTAAGAAACTGTGTGCCATAGTTCTTCACAAAGTACTCCATGATGTTGGTGAGGCCTGGTACCTGCACAAAATACGTAAAGTATCTTGAAACATTCACAGACCCTTTGCCACTAAAGACATCTTCCAAAGACATAGACTCATAGACTCGGTCTTTTCCATCTGCTTTCGCCCTTCAATGACTCAAGATCCTTCGGGCCTTCGGGAGCTGGATGCCAACTTCCACATAGTTGGACGAGAGGATCTCATCGCCCTCAAAGCCTCAGTCAGGCCGAAGTGAAACTCCAGGAACTCGTTGAACTGTGCGTTCATTGAGCTCGCACAAAAGAAAAATGGACGCATTAAGCGGCCATTTTTAACAGAAACCAGCGCTGTGAGCGTGTGTATTTTTCAGTGTTACTTACGCAGAGGAAAGTCTAAATTTTTTAAGTATTTCCTATGCAGGTGGGAATATGTGAATACCAAAATTACCAAAAATATCAGACAACGAGAGCAGGTTATTCAAAACCCAGCCTCCCTCCTATTGCGCTCACTGTCATTCGCAAGCATCTTTTGTTGAATGGTCGGTATGCTCAGGGTCTGCTTCACCCAACTGACATCTCACTCATTGGATTTGCATTTCCACCCTCGTGTCACACTCATGTCTCTAAACACAGGCGTGGGTGGGTGGGCAAAGAAACCAAATTAGGACTCCTGTGAGCCCTCCACTGCAGATTATGTGAAGGTAGAGGAATGCATTCCCTCCCCCCCTCCATAAACAACATGGCTCCCTTATGTCCATCAGTTCATACTAAACTTCTTAGACAACGAGAGCAGGTTATTCAAAACCCAGCCTCCCTCCTATTGAGCTCACTGTCATTCGCAAGCATCTTTTGTTGAATGGTCGGTATGCTAAGGGTCTGCTTCACCCAACTGACATCTCATTCATTGGACTTGCATTTCCACCCTCACTGGTCACACCGCAAGTCTTTCTGGTGCACTTCTTGCATTTCCTTTGCGCCATCGTGAGCTGGGAGTTGAGGACTACCTTCGATGAGTTTCTGCTGAAGGGCCAGCCACACACAGACGTCCAAGTCTCACTGGGCACGTCCCAGCCTGCGTCTTCCACTTGACGCCAAGCCACCCATAGTTTTCTTGGCAGCTGAGTGACAACTAGGTCCGGAGCTCCCTTCTCTAAGGCTTCAACTTCCCGCTTGGGTTCTTTTGACGGGGCTGGTTCAACAGGAGGTTCATCACGGCTGGACCTTTTGGCTGCTTCTTCGACTTGCTGTCTTCCAGCGCGTCCTCCGCATAGGTCAAGACCACCGACGACTTCCATCTACCCAGGAATGTTCCTGGATGGGCATACCAAGTCTCACATATCCCATGGCTCCACTACGTCTAGCAGAGTGACCTTGAATCTTGGGAATGGTGACCATCGCCCATCCTTCCACCATCTTGGCCTTGGATATCTTCCTGCCCTCACTGTCCTGGAAGATGAACTCGTGCGGTGATCTCTTTTCTCCACCAAAGGCTTTCCAAATCTCCGTCCACAGCTTCCAAGGACACCATCTCTGGCAAGCCTTCGATGCACAGCATTGCCGGGCGTGATTTCGCAAAGTGGGGTCCTTGGTACCGCACCACAAGGCACCTCTGTTGTCAATTTCTGCAACCAACGGTACGAAACAGGGCTGCACGCAGCGCCGGACATCACCGCCCGGATGTGACCATCACTGGTGGAAAACAGTTTCTGTGAAATGTCTAAAGCGGATTCGTTGTAGGCGGTCACGGGTCAGAGCTTTCTGCTGTCTCTTCGATTGATTAGAATTTAAAATGTCTGAAAAAAAAAAGCGCCAGCTTTCCCGAAAGGAACGTTCTCAAGAAAGGCTAGGCGCATTCCAATTCACACTGCTACACTCTGTCTGAATCCAGTGCCAAGGTCCACGGATGGTCCAACCAAGCTTACAGAGCCAGTGGCTTATTTCGCCCTGCCAGTGTCCCAGACGACTTTGGTGTTTCCACATCTTGCAGCGCTGTCGGCTGGCGACAAAGTCCGCAAAGTACCTCTCCAAAAGTTTTGGCTAATAAGTGGATAGAGGCCACGCGGAGTGTTCGGAACGCTGTTTTAAAAGCTCTGCGAAGCTGTGCAGTTTCTTGTTGACGAGGTAGACAGGAGCGGGGGGTACAAGTCTTGCGCGCAAAAGTGTGCGCTTGCGGCGACGAGAGACCGGCGAGCAATTGAGTTTCACGGCGTCAGCCGCGGTGCGGCGTCGAGATTCACAGGCGGGTCGTTGTTTGCAATTAGATCTAGCGCAGAAGTCTACACCAAGCAATTGGCATTGTTCAACCAAAGCGCCGGGGTTCAAAGTCAAGAGTGCGCAATTATTTTCCTTGTTTGTCCGTGCGCGCAACTACTTTCAGTTCAATCGATGGGGCCCGTTTTCCCACAAGTCCAGGAGTTGGGGCACTTGACGGGGCCGCGCGATGCAACTAACCCGGTCATCGAAGAAACCGGAAGTAGTGACACCTGAAATATTCACAAAGGGGCGCTGCCAACATCAATTTAGTTTACAGTAAGCAATGGGAGACAGGGCGTCAATATCCATGTGTGTTGAATCTTTATCGGGCATGGCTTCTTTGGCTACTGGCTGGGTTTTGTCAAGAACTGTGTTACTGTGTTACTCTTTTTGCCCGGGCAAGTCAACGCGCGCTTGTCTCTCCCTCGTTCGCTACGTAACTGCACGGGCTCTGGAGGAGTTTTGCATCGGACATCACGGGCAGCCGTGTGAAATTCGGCATCTTTGTCTGTCTCATCCTCCATACAAATTGGGATCAAGGCGATCCTGCCTGAACGCACGAGAGAACCGTGGACGATGTACTCTCAAAGCATTCTGCTTAGAGCCTTGCGAAACCTTAAACCTTTTCCTCAACGGAACCCGAACCAACACTGGCTTTTCCCAACCCAACGCAGACCAATCGGCCGGATCGAAAAACCAGGTTGAGTGACTTGCAGAGTTGCCACTCTGTGAAATCAGGGTTTTGGCCAAATCACCAGGCACCCGACCGCAGCCTTGAAAATGTGAACCGTCATCAACCTGCTCCCAACCCCACACATCCCGGATCTGGTGCAAAAGTTTGTGGTCCAGTCTTGCAACAATCCTTGCGAGGGCGCGGCAAGGATTCTGACGCCAAAACATTTGGCGAACGCACACGAAGGACGGTAGTACCCAGGTTAGGGTCTTACACTTTCAACTTCTTGGCGACTTCAAACTTTTGCTGTGGCTTTCAGAGTCAAGGGTTTTCCTTTCCCCGTGGTGCCATTTCACAAACACTGACTTGTTTCACTTTGAGCTGCCCGCCAACAAAACCTGGCAAGTTCTTGTGGGAGTTGTTAACTCACTCTACTTCGTCCGATGTCTCGCCGGAGAAAACAACGGAAGCCTGTACATCTGGCGCACCTTTCAACAGATTCAACATTTCACACAGGACTGCAGGTGAAGATGCCTGGCACAGAAAGGGGCCACTCTCTGAAGCGGTCGCCAGAGTATCTCTGTGGGAGTAACTGTCCAAGGCTTTTCCGAACCTGGCGGACGGCGAACAGGACCCGTTGTGAGGGCGTCTGTTGGTCGAGCGTCAGCTTCGGGAACTGGAACTCGTGGAGTGAGCTGCTGACGACCTTCCCCTTTTCAGGATACCAATTTGTTCCTTTCTGTTTTCTTGATTTTGTTGGCGGGCTAGGCTTTGGTTGCCTTTGCCTGTACCTCTCTTGTTGTGCTCGGACTGCTTCAACTGACTTTCAGCTCGGCTCACGATTTTCTGAAGGGCCAACAAAATCGAGTCCTTTGCGATGTCAGCCTTCTTGTTCTTGGGTCTTTTCACGGGCCACTTTGGGACCTCAGGGGTGTTCGAAAAAGCTTCCAGCAAAGCCTTGAGGCCACCTAGAAGCTCTTTTCTTTGCGTGTTCTAGCAGTCACATGGAAGCATAGAAGCTTGCACGCCACCCGGAGTGTGGGTGACAATGCCATCTGTGACAGATCCATCTGGCTCTCATTGGACGTGGCTGAAGCCGACCAAAGGCCAAAAAGGAACGTGAAGCTGAGCAAAATGCTCAGGCAGAATCCAGTGCAACAAGGTTCAAAGTGTGTTGAAAACGTAGGGACCCTAAACCCTGAAACGTCAACACACCGCGATTCCTAATTGATGGCTCATTTGTAGGCCATAAGCACTGAAAACATGCATTAGGACAGCACAGGACCAAAAGAACTTCCAAATTGTGTCCTCGAAATCTTGCACACCTGCATAAAACAAATTCACAACTAGCTTGATTAGGTGCCGCGTCCGAGGCGTTATTCTTGTGCTGCCGCTGCCTAAAATCTAGGAACCAAATGAATAGTGCGAGCGCTTCTTCAAGAAGCTCCCCTCCGCCGTCAAGCGGGGGGAGTTTCGTTGAAGAAGCATAACCTATCCTACGTCCAGTAGCTAGGAGCGTTAGTACCTATAGAATAAGAACCTAATAGAGCGACTGACTAGTTTCCTACTTACATCTTCTCCTCTCTGCGGCCTACCCCCCCGGCGCTCAAACATAGAAAAAGTAAAAATACGCAAAAGCGGTTGTAATCCCTCACCCTTTTCTAGGCTTCAGGCCAACTTTGGCCCTCGTCCAACCCGCTGCGGAAATGGTGAGCCTCATCTTTCGTCTCCGATCGACGCGCTTCCAGATTCCGAAGGATTCCGAAGGATTGATGAGGCTCCGGACTTGGTCCGAAAAGGAAACCCCAGCTGCAAAGTAAAAATATTTTCGCCGTTCTGCAAGACCAGATCTCCTTCTAGCCGCTCCTGCGTTCGGAAACTTTCCGGGTCGTACAAAACAAATCCCTCAAAAGAAAAAATCGATCGGGCCAATCCCTCCCAACCTCAAACTGTGAAAACGTCCCGCTTTTGTCGCGAAGCTTCGTCAGAAAGCGCGGAGCCTCGTGAGGCGACGAGCGAGCGGCGCGAGCGGCGCGAGCAGGAGCTTTTCGGAGAAAAGGCTTCAGACGGACGGATGAGTCAAGGCAACGGCTCAAGAGAAGAAGCGAATTGTTTTGGACTGCAAGCAATGCCGTCCTCCACTTTGGTGGCCATAATATGTCTGTGATGTGATGAATTTGCTCCATTTTGCACCTTCTCGCTCCTCTGTCCTGCCTTCATCCATCCCAGATCTTCCCAGTCTGTGTGTCTACCAGCTGCGTTTATATTGAACCCCAATGTCACCTCGACACGATTGCTGGGAAGCAAACTGGGATGGAAACGCTGGTGCCCATGACCTCATAGAGGACTGACCTTGGACTCTGATTGTATGTATACAGTATACATAGAGAGAGAGAGAGAAAGGGAGATCCTGCTTTTCTCAAAAGCAGCCTCCGCTGCCCAGTGTTCCAAGCCGCAGACGGCAAAGACAGCATGTACAACCCTTTGGACCTTGGCCACTGTCAGTACATGGTGCGACGTGAAAACATCGAGCAGGACCGGGGTCTTTGTTCTCCTGAGCTTCCCTCTCATCAACAACTTCAACCTCAAAATCAAGTGCCACTGATCCAAAAGATCAACGGTGCCCACCGGCCCAAAGTGCTTCAGCTCTCTTCCAAAACTTCCAAATGATTGAAAGAAATGCAGCCGCTGCGCCGCTGCACCCGGCCTCCCATCCTTCTTGGGCCATGGCCTGACGCCATGGGTAGCTGCCAGCTACCAAGACCCACTGCACTCGAATCCACCCGCCTCCAACACTTTACGGTCAGACTGGGACATGAGATTCCGAATGGCCTGGGCGATGGCGTCGAAGTAAAAAGACCAGCCTTTCTTGAACGAAGTTCAGCTTTTCCTTTCTGGGTCAAACGAAGTAAAACAAATTCAGCATATTTTCCCCCTAGGTCTCAAGCTACCCACGGATATATACTCCCACAAATGACCCACGGATGGCCACGCAAAGACTCACTTGACATCTTCCCAGATGTGCGGGTTTGACTGCAAATCCCCCACCTTCTCCCCAAGTTCTACTCTTTGTCGCTTGGGGTCAATGTCCACTCGTACGATGAGGTTGGCATCTTCCATGCCCGGCCTGATTGCCGAATCATGCCATTGGCAGCACTCTCTCAAACCAACCATTGACACAAACCACTCTATATGCACAACCACGTATTGTCAAAGTCAACTCTCACTATTTTGCACAATCCTTTGACTCAGTTCAACGATGGATCGGAGCTGGGAAGTGAACGCCACTGGTGGCTCAAGCTCTTCCTGTGGCGCAGGCCTTCGGGCAAGACATCTTCGTTGAGCGAGAGCACCGCTGAATGCAGATCTGAGTGTGCCACTCTGGGGTAGCCGCAGCCTCAACCTGAGATTCAAAAGGCGCCACGAATTCTGCAGGGCCCGAAACTCGAAAGAAAAGAGAGCTCGTCACTGTGAGCGTGCACTTTTTTAAGCATTTCAAGCTGCCAAATCTTGCTGTCTAAAGTTTTCAGCTCATACCAAAGCCAAAACTTCTCATGTGGACTTCCAACAAGCAACAATATTTCAATAGAGATTCTATAGCAATCTTACTGATATGCACCAGTGTGTTTAATTAATAGCAACCCACCAAATAGAAGGATTTACATAGCAAAAATATTTATATTCTACAGAATTTGTCCCATGAGATTAGATCTACAGATGGTCCCTCAGCTTTCTTCACTTCTTGTACTTCATGGACTTACTCTTCATGGACTTGCCCTTCATGACCATCTTGTTGCCAGACGAGGGTTTGCCAATTGCATTCTTCGTGTTGGACTTCTTGCCACATAGGTATGAGACAGACTTCGCATTCTTGAAGAGGTTTGGCAGGCGAGTTGGATGCAAATACCGAATGTTGCCACCCTCAATGGACTCGTTGTGACGCTTGGATAGAAGCAACAAGAAGAATTTGTGCCGGTGGGCTCGCATCTCATTGATGATAGGGGAAAAGTTGCGGAACCACGAGAAGACCTGTTCGCAGATCGAAGTGTTCTCTTTGTGAATGCGCTTCTCCAGCTTCTTGCGGTAGCCTAGGTAGGCTTGGTTTAAAGTAAATGCGAAACTATACAAAACGACACATTCATAAGGGCTAATGCAACAACATGCGCCTCAATAAACTTGCAAAAAATGATTGCGGTCGTCTCGATAGAACAGAATCCATATTGATTGACTTGGTGTTGAAACAAAGAGACAGGACACGAGGATTGCAAGGGCAGGTTCGCGAATGACCATGAGAATGAAAACCATCCACGACATAGTAGCCGATCTGATTCAAGGCCTCATTCGACTCCCCACATGACTTGAAAGCGCACGCTCTGTCGTAGACAAGGCAATCCAGTTTGGGGTACAACCAGATGACGTTCTCCACAGCCAGAGTTGCGACCTCGTTGCCTTCAGGCTCATGCGTGACCTGCAAGCTGCTGATGCGACCGGACTTCGGATCACACGCAAGCATCCAGCCATTGGTGTAGTGCCCGGTGGTGTGCTCAGACTTCCTAGGACGGCCTGCGCGCTTCATTGGCGCCATATCACACTGCATCTTCAGCTTCTGGTTTCCATCAAGGACTAAGGTCTTCACCTGCTGACGCTTGTGTGGAGGAAAGGTAGATGAGTGGCAAAAGGAATCGTAGAGGTCAAGATGGGTATCTTGGATCTCCTGTTCGATCATGATCTCCTGACGCAGGCCCAACATCTCGAACTCCCTCACAGCCATGTAGTAGAACAACGCAGACGCATGCAGCTTGTCAAAGTTCTGAAGGATTGACTCTTGGGAATCTCCGTGGACAACGTGGTAAGCGCACGACACAGCAGCACTTGAGAGATGACCACGGAACAGAAGTTCTTCATGATACTGGATGTATTTCAAAGAAAAGGCCTTCTTCGAGTTCACAAACAGAATGTTGTCCTGAAAATCCTTCATGCCAAGGACGTTCACCTTCTTGCCTGCTTCCCAGCGATAGTTGTAGCCATAAGAAGCCCGGCAAGAACGGGAAGTACAGTTCTTCTGCGCGTGGACGATTTTTCGAGGGCCATCTAAATCGTACAGCACGGCATCGACGGACAAATGGTAGATGAGGGAACCAGAACAACCTTCACAGACACACTTGCTCAGAGGACATGTGAAAGTCTGCGGACTAGAACCTCCCACAGCATCCAAGGTCACTAATGCTGAGTAGGATTGCCTTCGCAAGTAGTAGAAGGTGTACTGGTCAGGTGACAACATGTCCATTGCCACACCAGCAGACACCACTGAGGTGACCTCACCATCCTTCTTGAGGAGCAAACCTTCTCGATGCTGCAAGGCAAAGAAGTGCTTCATGTCCTTGTCATGCACGATGTAGCTGCCATCCGGCAAAGACTTTCGACAATGCTTCTGACACAGTTGGACGCCAAAGGGAAGTAGCAGACTATTGCCGTAGGAAACTGAGAATGGGCCATCTTGATCGCAAACCACCGGGAGACCAATTTTTTGCATGGCCATGATCAAGCACACATCTTTGAAGCCATTCTGGCAGCCAGGACCTCCATATTCTAAGTCAGGAGCAGCACCAACGCGATCCATCGGATCGAGGATGAAGTCCAGGCAAAATGTCCAGATTGGGAATGTCTTATGTCCTTCTCTGTCTCTTGTGTGGTGGCGGGGAAGGTGTGTCCAAGACAATGGGCTCACTAGAGGTAAAGGCAAGGCTCTGGAACTTCAAGGAAGGCTCTTCCTTAACGGTCCAACCTGCACTTGCACGATCTGTGCCTACATCCACAGGATCTCCACGTGTCGCTGTGGCCAACCATGCATGCGCATCCGGATGCTCGGCTGGCTCCAAATTGGGTACGCCAACCAAAAGAGCAGGGGCAGGGTGAGGAATTGACAATGAACTCGATGCCGGCCTTGAAGAAGCAGGTGCAGCAGGCAAAGCCCCATCAGCCCGAAGCAACGCATCCAAACCAGGCGTGGAAGTCAAAGGACAAGCTGGCGAAGCAGGACGTACAGGATGATCATGTCGACGGAATAGCTCTTTCAACCATTCAGTCTCCCATGCCACAGATGCGGAATAAGTATCCGGCTGAGGCCCACCATTTTTCCAATTCTTCAGGGTTGGCTTGCAATCTGGAAGAAGAATGTCCTTTGAATCTGAGTTGGTCCAAAAAACACGCTGCACCTTGACATGCTTCTCAGTGGGTGGTCGGAAATAGATGTACTTCTCAGCAAACACGATGAAGGCAGCCCTTTTCAGAATTGCCATAGCATCGGCATTGGCGATGTAGCCCACGGCTGGACGGACCAGCTTCATGAAAGACTCATGGGAGACTTCTGCTGAGAAAACACCATCAACATCGCCTTCTTGACCCTCTGGGTTGTACTGGTTGTCTACGACGATGCGAAGCTGATGCATCACGAACTTCGCTGCCGTCCACCTGCCCAAGAAAATTAATGATTTACATTCACAGACATGCATGTCAAGGGAAAACACAATATGCGGATTGCACATGTGATGTGACATTGCAGAGCCCGGCCTTTCTTTCAGGATGGTCTCAGAATCTCCCACATCTGAGAACGCCTTTTTCTTTTTGATGGTCTCATTACCGATTTCACCATCGTCAAAAATGGCAGGCGTGGCCTTGTCGAAGAAGATGCCACGAAAGCAATCAAACTTCGGGGCTGACCTGAACTGACCATTTCCTCCATGATATCGCGAAAACATCATGGAAAGAATTCGAGCGAGAGGGGTTTTGCCGACACCGGACTCTCCGAGCAGCCACAGGGAATGTCCACGAAGATGAGGCAAGAGATCTTCCAAGATGGTCAAGATTTCTGGCTGAATGGCTTGGATGGTCAAATCATATCTGTCAGACAATTTGGCCAGACATCCGTCATTAGCAAGACAATCAAGAGCTCTCTGAACCAACTTCTCGTTCCAACCATGGATCGGAGAACCTTCTTTTTGGATGTGGCGATGGATCCAGCGCATCTGCTTCAAGTAGTCCTTGTCTCTCTCACCGTTGCTGATGATGAAGTCCCATGCTGCATCCTACTCATCTTCTCCTTGAGGGGCACGTGCTTTGTTGGATCGGACCTTCTCAGCGGAAAGAGAGAAGTGACGAAACTGATGCCCACCCAGCCACTCCAACATCCACTGGAAGCCACGGCGAGCTTGCTGTTTGTTGAGGGAGGCCCAAGCAATCTCCTTGCCTTGACCACGCGCTTGGCAACATATGCGCCCTTGACTTTGTCACTCTTGACGTAGTAATGCTTGAGGACACATAGTTTCCCATTGGTTTGTGGAAGCAAACAAAATTGGGACAAGCAAGAGAACGTGGGGCGTTCCTTCAAGGTAAGTGCTTCAGGAAGCTCTTGCCAAGCCTTGTCTCTGATGATGGCTTTCAGATTGTCCATGTCGATCGAGGAGGGCTCGACATCATAGATCAAATCAACGAAGTGCTTGATTGAAGGAGTAGAGTCCGAAAGCCTGAGAAGCATAAGAAAGAATCATGCATAAATATCACATGTGATGGGGAAGGCCTATCGACTTTCGATGACACTTGAAGACAGACAAGAAACTCCTTCAAAGGTAGACCGAACCGACCGGTAGAGGGCCAACATGAACATGAGCTGGAAGTTCTCGCAGCGTGAGGTGCTGGGTCGCTGCGATGGCATCGCTCAGGGACATATTATCGCCCTCCACCTCCATGGCCATAGAGTGTTGAAGGGCTCGAAAGATAGCACAGAAGCAAATTGAACGATAAAAGGATGACTATGAGCCAGACAGGATGGGCATAGGAATTTTCTGAAATTGCAAAACTAAAAAAACAAACAAAAAAAAACAAACTCATGGCTTGCAGACGGTCTTGGGTCCAAAGGTTTTCTTTTTGGTTTTCCTGAGTGCAGTGTCCAAAACCTGTTGAAAACCCAAAAAAAAACAGACTCATGGATTGCAGAGGGTCTTGGGTTGGTTGGGTAGGTTTTTTTGTTTTTTTTGGCTTTTTTTGTTTTTTTTGGTTTTTATTTTTTTTAGTTTTTTTTGTTTTTTTGTTTTTTTGGTTTTTTGGTTATGTGACACTGAAGACACTGAGGCATTTAGTATAATACACTCACTGAACTATAGTGTTTTTGCACTAGTCTACTAGATATGCAAGAATACAGTGAAATATTTACAGTTTTAGCGCACGCTGGTGGTAACGTGTTCTGAAAGAAAAACACGTAAAGATACGTAAAGGCTTTTTCTAGAAGTGTGCAGAATGACAACAGGGTACACCCAATCGTGGCGGTGATCTGCCTTGACTGCTGCTGGGGCCCATCTTGATTTGATCGTTTGAAGAATCTAGCAATCTCCCACCTCCACAACCTCCTCTTCTCTTGGCAAAGGCCTGTGAAACCACTCAAGGCCATTGTCATACTGTCCTTGTGCCAAGCTGGGAGCGCCACTCTTCCACTTCAAATCTGGCGGAAGAATACAAAACAAACTCATCTTTTCTGAGACGGAAAGGCTGAAGACTACTCATGACTAAAGATCATCTCGCCTTTCCGTGGCACTCTCCTTGGGCTCAGCCTCAACCTCCTTCTCTTCCTTCTCCCTCTCTTTCTTCTCCTCCTTTCGTTCCTCTTGTTCCTCTGTTTGGGCCTGAGATCGGTCTTTCGCTTCACTCAAAATGGCCTGTTTTACGCTTCATTCAGTATGAGGCCACAGCCATTCCAAGGGCTGCTTGAGCATTTTGCCACCAGTCCTTCCACTCACGCATGAGCATTCAAGAACGCAGCCCCGGTTTGGGCTCAAAAAAACAAAGGAAATCTTTAGTCAGATCTATCAATTCGTCAAATGTGCTTGATTTTGCTTGTATACTTGGGTGTGATTGAACTTCAACCCAAACAACATCGAATCCTCCCTCCAAATACCCCCATTCACCTCCTCCTTTTCAGCACTAGCTTCTTGTGTGACATCCGCCGAATCCTCCGAAACAGAGCCGTCGATCCTTTCTGGCCGCAAACCAAATGCCACGTCTGGGGAAACGACGGTATCGCGCGTCTCTGTCGGAGTCTCACCGAAGAGGCCTGGAGCGACCGAGGAAAAAGCACTCGATCCTGTCGCACCCGAGCAGGTTTGGCTGCGCCCGATAGCCTGGTGCTGAAAACTCCGGCAAGAAGGGCGGAAAAGACCTCAGGAAAGAGAAACAAACTACTCCGACGACACAAGAAGATTTGCACCTAAAAGGGGGAAGTGCATGGAAGATCATGGAAGTGCATCACAAGCCAAACCTTCAAGTGTGAGAACGAATACAACCAATGATATGATGGATACTCAGAAGCAAACTCATTTGACTCCTTGTCATCTTCCTTCTCATCTTCCGAGATCTCTTCGGGACCTCAGGAGATGTGGCGACGAAGGACAAAGGAGGAGTCACGGCGCATGACGTGCCGGGTACTGCTCCAGGAATCGGACGGCCTGTGCCAAGCACTGCTGCAACCACTGACGTCTTCACGGAGGCGAGGATATTTACAGCGCCTCCGAGGCGTGTACTACTAGTAACAAGAAGCTACTAGTAGGCTACTAGGGGCTCCTGGCATCACTACTAGGAACAAGGACGCTACTAGGGCTCCTGGCCGTACTAGTAGGAGCAAGGACGCTACTAGCACCAAGAGTCTCGCATCCTCCACCCAATCCGTGTCACAACAATTATCTGCCTCCTTTCAAGGTGTGTCTGGCTCTTAGGTTGGAGGCCATCGCCCTCAGGTTGGACGCCATCACCCTTAGGTTTGAGGCCATCGCTGTTAACTGTTTTCGAGTCCCCAATACATCGAGGCTGGTTCACGCCCTGCACAGCCTGAAGCCGCGTCTTCTGGACCTTCCAGGCGATCCTTCGAGTGCGCCTTCGCATACGGAAGGTAAAACCCTCATCCTTCTTCCTCTTCACGTTTAAAAAATAACAAGAGCCATAGCCATGACAAAATAGACTGTCATGGTGGCCTCTTCTTTTTCTATCCTTCTTTTCTGGCCAACAAGTGGCAAACTCTCCCACCAATCTACAAGTGTCCTGAAGCTGCTGCGGAATGTGTGAAGAGGCCCCACTCAACATACAACCAAGGCGATCTCCTCTTGAAGGAATCCGTATGCTCTCCGTGCCCCTGACCGGATATGCTCGTTGTCACGCAGATAAAGACAGTGCAGCGAGAATTCATGCACTCCCACCTGCAGCAGGAGACGCCTCAAAGCATCATCCTCCTTGCGGCGTCGACCCTGCCAAGGCAGATTGTCACACAGCAAGGCCGTGTAAAAGCCCCGAGGTTGGTAGAGACTCCGGCTGATTGATCAAGGTTGTGAGATGTTTTGAGTCTGTGGTATTCTTCGCTGTGACATGCGGACAAGCTTGTGCGGACCGGTGCACAGCGCGAGCGGTGCAGGCGGGCCAGGTCTGTCTGAGTCAAGCTTAGGGAAACGGACGTGCAAGGTCAGTGGCCCTTCGAACCGGTCGACCAGCAGTTATCTTGGCCAAATCTAGTCTACTCATGCGCGGGTGGCCCAAGTAACGCCCAACGTCATGCCCCCCAAGTGGATAGGTGATCTTATGTCGAACCAAACCGATGATGAGACGGTCACCCAAATCCCTCGCGCAGTCCGTCTGCCTGTGACCTCCCCCAACAACTTGGTGCCCGGACTCGGGAGGATTGCCTGGCGGGGTGAACACGCGACATGCAGTGCCCTGCAGTTCTGCCCTTTTTCGCGACGCCTCTTGGAATCTTTGGCATCACCTTCGCCCTCAGTAGGCCCCCTCAGTCGCGAATGTCCAACTCTGTCCAGCTTCGGGACAGGGAGAAAAGCGTGAGTCCAAAAATAAAGCAACACCCCTCGGCAATTGGATGTAGCATGTGTTCGTGAGGGGAGACAAACCCACATCGCCATGCTCGCTCGTCCAAGGCGCTCAAAGAAACCAAAGACACTCAAGGCGATGAATCCAGCTCCTGCTAAGCGTCCTGCGTTGGAACTGTCGGAAATAAATAGCATCCGCTGGCCAGTTCGGAACCACCATATTATGCATTCCACTTGTTACTAGTAGCTTCTTGTTACTAGTAGTAATGCCCTCCAACCCAATAGCGACGGCCTCCACCTAGTAGCTTCTTGTTCCATTATATACGAGTAATAACCATGGACAATACTGGGCCCACATTGGATCTGCTCGTTGCCAACGAAACATACCTTGTTTCAAGGAGAAGCATCTAGGAAGCGCCGCCTGGTCTTTTCTCGCAGCATAGTGTGGCACCAGCCCTGCCTACACAAGAATACACAAGATGCAAATAACCCAACAATCATAGAAATGGAACAGAATTTGTAGAGCAAAATAGTCTTGTCCACGTCCAAGTGTGTTCAACAAAGGGCCACCTTCTGTACACGTTTGCTTAGATCCACTGACGACATCACATCAGTCAAACCCAGGATCCCACCTCGCTGCATAACATCAGTGGGAATGTGCCTCCAATATACGGGGCTCAGTCAAAAGCTTTCCATATGCCAAACTGCGGCGTGCCATGCACTCAGCTTCGCTGGGTTTCATGCCTTCGCGAAGCTGTATGATGGGTCTGTGCCTCACTCAGGTGTGTCACATGACGGCTGTGACCATTGTGACCTGTCTTGTTGATTCTTTAAATATATAGCGCTGAAGAATACAGGGGAACGGATAACCAGATTGTCTTCTAGGTTGCGGGCAACAGAGAATGACACAGGTGACCACGGACGCATCCAAATACAGCCAGCAGCAGCCATGCCCTGTGGCTGCAATATTGCAATACTTTCCATCTTCAAGCATCGTGACACCGGCATCTGAGGGCAAGGCCCACTTGGATCTCTTGTTGTGCCTCGACAAGAACGGAGGAAGGCTCAAACACTTGAAAATTGACAGAAGTTCAAAAGGCCTCTGGCTTCTGGGGCGTCGTTGCAAAAACTTCCATGCCTGCCACTGCCAGTGGAGAGAGAGACAGAGAGAGAGAGAGAGAAACACAAAAGCGCTGCTTTACTGGGCCTCGCGATCTTTTCGCGGCGATGTTTCCATCAGAACATTTGGCCTGGTCAGGTGAAGATTCGTGCCAGCCGACATTCTCCTACCGTTTCGGTGCAAACGGAGCGGCCTGCAGGCATTAATCAAATCAAATGACTCCAGCCCAAAATATTGCGGACTGCACAGATCCTGTCAGACCGGTCACACAGCATCAAAAAAGTTGTCGAGGAACATCAGATAGACTCGCTCTCTCGGAAGCACCGCTCTAGGAGAAACTACATGCGGCTGCTTTTGCGCGCGATGTCTACGGCAAGCTGCTCAGACCTTAAGGGAAGCAGCTGATCGGGAAAGGCTATCCAAGCGAGGGGCAACATGCGCAGCACTCACAGCACATTCGCAAGTCGTCGCTGTACAGTGGTATCTGGTATAGTAGCAATTCCAGCTAGCCCAGTCCAGGGTCTTCCAAGTTCTAGCAATGTAGTGTCAGAATTGCTGCTTCCTGTGCTTCTTGGCTGCCTAGTTTGAAGCGATCTTGGTTCGGCGAATGCACTGCGGTCTTCAAAATTCATCTTCTCTGCGTGCAACATGCATGTCCTTCTGGACATTGCATGCGTGTGTGAGACAACAACGTCTCTACCGAAAGCAATACTTCGTATACTTAACCAAAGCTCCCGAAATGTGCTTAGTAGTGTCCCTTAAAAATGATTTTTGATGTGGCCAGGGTCAGAAAACTGCCTCTGGACAGCTAAGTCGTACAGAAAAAACGTCGTTGCTGCCAAGATCGTTAAACCTTCAGCAGCAGCACGCCAGCAGCGCGCAAAAAAGCAACCACCGAACAGTCTGAAAAGGAAACCTCGGCTGGGATTCTCCAGCTGGGATTCTCCACTTATTTCCAAGCCGAAGAAGTGGCACGCCTGGCCGAATGCCTTTGCTCGATGCTCTTTTCAGGATTCGGCAAAAAAAGCGGCCGTAAAGGCAAGGACATTCGGCCAAGTGTGCCCGTGGTATGGCGTGTACAAACAGCTTCTGCGCCCTTTCAACCTTGAAGAACACGACAGCTACCCCAGCGAACCTGTGAGGATGCAAGGAGGAAACGCTTCTGTACAGCAGCATGGGTTCATAGACGAAATTGACATGGGAACTTTGAGAATTTCTCCAAGTCAAAAGCGCGCATTTTCAAACATTTGCACCCACGCCACAGCGGTGCCGCTGCTGTATGTCTGTTTTCGATGACGTCTCACCTGATCAGGGACATCCTCATGTCCTTCGACATTCGTCCAGGATCCAGTGAGCCTACGCAAGCTGCCGATGCTTGAAAGCTGTAACCGACCTTTGCTGCCTAGTTTTCCCAAAAATCTAGAAGATTCAGGTTCAGGCACCCTCAGGCTGGGGGAGCTTCTTTGAAGAAGCCTGAGCCCGTCTACATCCAAGCCTAGTAGCATCAAAGGTCTACACCCCCCCAACAAAAGGTCCTAGTAGATTCCTTTGCTAGTAATTACAAGTGCATCGCTAGTAGTAACAAGTGCCTTACTGGTAGTAAGAAGAAGCTACTAATCAGAATTCTATTTAAATTCGTAACTTGTTACTACTAGTAAGGCACTTGTTCCTGGCGTCTCTTGATGTCACTGAAGTAGAAAGGGGTCAAGTATTTCGTCTTTGTGCAATCCAGCGAAGACACACTGCACAATAGACTTACAAGCTAGTAAGTTCACCATTGTTCACCTAGTTTTTCCTATCACTTTGCTGCCGCACAAGCAACAGCCTGTTTGCCTTGCGAGCAGGCCCTGTGAAAGTGGATGTTCAAGCTCCAAAAATATCGCTCACCGCACGTTATTGAGGGCGCCCTTGACTAGCCAAAAAGGCAGTCCCCTAATGACAAATTGAGTTCTTGAATTGCGGAACTCGTTCGATTGCAAACCTCGTCGATGGATGACTTTGATTGTGCCCTTCAACTCCAAAGACACGCTGGCAAAAATCATCAAAAATTATAGACCACCACACCTGCTTTGCATCAAAATAGATCATCATGATGCTCAAAGCCCCCAAAACCAGCCAACGCAAGTAGATCGTCCTGATACCCAACCCCAGCAGCCAGTGAAGCTGATGACATCAGAGAACTTCACAACACAAGATTAGCTGCGTGTGCATGTGCCTGTGCAACAGAATGACAAACTTACTATTTACTACCCCCATGGACCACTCGATATGTGGGAGTATCTCCGAGTAAGGTGTACAGTAATCCTCTTGTTTGGATAAGATTTAATTCTTGAACCATAGCTTGGAGAATTGCCCTAATCGGCGGCCTCGTTCTAAACCTGGTTGGCCAGACCATGCACCTTCACAGCCGCGTTCTCAACAAAACTCCGCCTCTCGGGGCTGAGGGTCAGGCATCACCAGGCAAACTCTTGCCAGTTCTGGCTCCAGTCACACTAGTGGGACCTTAGCGAATCTTCATCCAGAAATCCAAAACACAGTAAAGCCAAAAAGCTGGAAAGCCGAGGCCGCAGCTCATCCCAAATCGAATGGCACCAGAATCATCAATGACCCCAGAATGCGTTGAGTGCTTCACATCCCCTGGCAAAGCAGTGCAGCTTGGTCTTCGTTTGATCAGTTCGACAAACAGTTAACATGTCACCAGCGACCACTTGGTCAACAAAATGTGTACAGATCGATCGATGGACGGACGGACGGATGGATGGATGGACAAATACAACATGTCACTTGCCTCTTTTATTGAGTGGGATTGATTGGGTCCCCAAAAGCATGTGACAAATCTTTAAGCACGGCACTTCTTGATGCTTTTCTCTTCATTCTGGGCTCAAGTTTCGCAGCCTCCTAGCGCGTCCACAAACCGCAAATTCGATGTGTTCCTTTGATCCACCCATACTGGTGCCTTCTAGTACCGCTACAACAACCCATTTAAAGGGAAACCACTTTATAACAGCTTCAATCCACCAAAAAGAGTCAATGATGCCGGTCCTTCATTTAGCTGAATGATTTATCATTGGTAGAGCATAAAGCTTTCACGAAAGAATCTGAAGCAAAAGCTTCTCCTCCTCGTTGTTGATTTCAAGATTCTCGTCGCCCTCCGAGAAGAAAATGTTGGAACCGTTGATGTCACTGATGTCCCCTGCAGGTGTCAACATCAACGGTGTCTGACACAGCTTGTTGGGACGTGTGGAGACCAAGGCGGTTCATTCATTGAATGTCATGGTGCTGCAGCCCGGATCTGAAGGCACAATTCTTGGGACAGGAATGATTGATGACTACTGAGCTGTAGAGACTCAGTTATCTAATGTTCAATTGCGTCAAAGAACATGCACTTCGAAAGCCAGCAAGGCATTGAACAAAGTCTTCCTCGAAAAAGATACAGCCATGGCAACTCTTCCTTCGCCGATCGGTTCTTCATCTTCGCCTCCAAACTTAGTGATGAGCTTCTGCAACAAGTCATCGATGCCATTCTGCACCTGGCCAGTCCAAAATGCTTTGCCAACGTCCAATCTCTGGACTTTTTGGTGACGTTCCAAATCCACCAACTCTCAGTTCATGCAGCACAAATGAGCACAAACAGTGAGAACATCTGGCAATGGTCATGCCAGTGGGGCAGTGGAGTCACGCTTCCGCCGCAGCTGCTGCGTAAGCTTTTTGGCTTGATGAGCGTTGCGGCCTCATCACCAGTCTGAGATCTTTGGGCAATGCAATATTACTTTATAATGGACTGTATCTTAGCTATCATATCTTGCTCTGACTACTTGAGCTCCAATTAATCTGCAAACACGAAGCATCCAAAGTGATCTGAGGAAAAAGCGAAGCATGGGCTCAGCTTCATCTTCATTAACTTTTTCAACTTTGTCGGACACGGCTGTTTTGTCAGCCACGAACTCGTGTCTCAAGGCCTGTGACAGACTTGCTGGAAGTGTCCTTTTGGAAGAGGGTTTGTTCTTTGTGTGAGCACTTCAAGAAACACAAACGAACAAAGATAAACAAGGGCCCCGATGCCTTAAGAACTGCTTGCACATTCGTCTCTTGTGCACTTGTTTTTGGTATAAGGTATAATGGTATGATGATAAAAAGAAGGGAAACTTGATGGAGTGGGATCCAACAAGCATGGGACTCCAATGCGAGGAATCAAACCTCATGTGAGGAATCACACCCACAAATCGTCTGAAGCAATATTCAAGGACAAAGTAAACCCTTCTCTTGAAAAACAGGCACCCCTCAAACTGCATGATGAATTGAAGCAGTATCCATATGTTAGACACTTGAGCCACGGCAACTGTGAATCAAACAATATCCAACAAAGCAACGCCTAAGTCATCTACGTCAACATCTCGCGCCGGTCGCACTGCCTCTTCAGCCGTCGGCCGCTCTTTCGCAGTGCGCTTTAGAAGCATCTGCGGCTCGCTTCGGAGACAACCCCACCGCCCAGGCCCAAGAGGGGGGTCGTTGCGGCAAGAGCTGGTTGAGTTCGGTTGTCACTTGGGCCGTAAGCCATGAGCAAATGCCAGCAACAGACTTGACAACCGCTTCTCTCGGAACTCTGGAAATGTCCCCACAAAACCAGACGACCCCAGCATGAGAAGCATGCCAGCAACCCATTTGCCTTGGTGAAGGCTAAAGCGCCGGTCAAGGAGCCAGAAACCTCAGTCATCAAGCAACGGTGCCATTGGATGGACACACTTCAACTTAGGTCCTCAGGACTCAGGACAGCCGAGAATAAGATTCTGAGGATTCCGAGGGCGAAGCCACTCCCTGCGCATCACCTTGGATCAGTCTGTTTTGAAGCAAAATGGCTCGTCGGGAAGAGATTCCTGGTTACCTCCGGCCCAAGCAAATCCTGGGGATGCATATGTGCTTCTGCCACCATCGCAGCCTACACACTGCGCAGCAAAACCCTACACCTGAGGAGAAAGCTTGGTGATGGAAATTTCAAGGGTGGATTGTCCTGGCATGCTTCGTGTGGACCAAATCCAAACATAGTCCTCAAAAACTTGATACCCTTGAAACAAAAGTGTCTGCTAACTTGTCGAAGACAAAAGAATCATAGCTTGAAGTCTTGGAGTGTAAAAAACGATGTAGCTACATCTGCGAAACCCCAGCAGTCAAATGATAATGGGGAACTTCCTTCGCCGTCTCCCGCGCCTCAATGATAGCTTTCTTCATTGCAGGCGCATTGGCCTGGCAGATCCCAAAATCTACAAACCTGGCCAGTCGTCTTTATGACCCTGGCCTCGCCCGGAGAATATGGAAAACTCCCGAACACCAGTAAATATGCCACTGAACCTGACGGAAATTCGCAGTGCTTGTGGCTGTGGATGGCCGGTCCGGTGCGTTCTGCCCCACGCCTATCGACCACACATCCGCCAGAAAGTCGTAGCCTTCATTCCGCAACATCTCTGGTGCCATGTATGGAGCTGTACCTCACTTGTGAGTGTTCTCATCACTTCGTAGACAAAAGCCCAAACGCCGCTGTTCAACCAACCCAGTTTTCTGAAGGAACGGACCGAAAACGCCATGCAGCTTGCCCTTGGGAGGCATCATCACGGCCAAGCCTCGGTGTTCGCAAACCGGTCTCCTCGGGGTATCACACCGTCTGCGCAGCTGGGCTTCGGGGCCATAGTCACAAAGCTTGAGAGTTTTGTTGCCAGGACCTCCCCAAAGAAAGTTGTCCGGCCTCACAGAGTCTAGGCGAAACCACTCTAAGAAAAGCATGAGAACTTTGAGAAGTTGCCGCAAAAAAAAGAAATGGGACCTGATACACGGCAACTCTCTCATACAAGCAGTAGCACTTAGCACTTGAAAAAGTCGACCGGGCATGTTCGTCGACCACTTCATTCATGAACCAGCATGTTCTTTCATTCCGTTCTTGCTCCTAGTACCGATGCCAGGAGCCCCTAGTAGCGATGCCAGGAGCCCTAGTAGCATGAGAACGCTCCTAGTAGCGTCACATTCCTGGGGACGCCCAGCTTGATGTCTCGGTGGACGATGCCCACACCCTGAGCAGTAAAAGATCTGCTTTTGGCGGGTATGTCGTACTCTTTTGTCGTACTCTCGCCAAAGGTACATTCATACTCAGGAACTGATTGCTGACTTCTCACACATATTTTGGAGGCGGCACACATCTCCACTCACACAAAACCGTCAATTTCTGAGTTGGCTACATGCGTGTGAGACACGCCCAAGAGCATGTGCCGAAAGATCTTTGACAAGTCGGCCTCCGACATAGTCTCAGCCTCAACCTGAGGATAGTTTTCATTATTTTTCTACAAGGTCACACGTTCTTATTAGGGCCTCTGGCTTTTGAGGCTTTCGTCTCGTGGGCATGTTCGTTTTTGTGAGCCCTTTCAGTGTTTTGAGGCCTTAGTGTTTGAAAAGTAGGTGAGTTACCTGTGTTTTGGGAAGCCAATGAGCATTTTATAGTGTAAATATCAGAGTTTCGTACCCGTTTCAGCGGTGGTTCGTTTCGACGGCCGAAGTGGTTGCCGCAAAGACTTTTCTCAGAGGCTCCCGAGTGCTCTGGTCAGGTCTACATCGGCATCTAAGTTGGAGCGCCACACGAAAGCGTAAACGTAGTTCATCAGGCGCTCGGAGATGCCACCCCCTTTGCGGTCTTTGACCTTGAGTGTCTTAGGCACAGCTTTCTCCAAGCTTTGCCACCATCGGTCGACACATTGCGCGCCGGAGACAACAAATCCTGGACGCTTCCTGGGACGAAGAAAGAGAATTGGCCACTGTATAGGGTGTCTTGCTTCTGATGCCCACAAACTCTTCTAACATGCGAGGGGAACAAAAAACAAAAGCTGAGAGTGATGTGTCAAGTCACGACATCTGGCGTGGCGCTCATCACGACATTTGGTGTGGCACTCATGGTCGGCATTGCGCAGGAACGAAGTAAACGACGGGATAAAACTAGAAGTGCAGCTGTCAACACTGTGTTGGGGGTTCTACCTCGACAAAATTCCAACCAACATCGAAAAAGATTCCCACGTGTTTGTCCAACCAGATCCCAATCTACCCAAGAACGTTCGGAGACCCAACATGTTTGCACAACAAAGTTCGATGTGTCATCCAACAGAGGGGTCGTGAAAATATCAATATATTGATCTAACGTAAAACGTTAACACGAAAAAGGGGTCCCAAACACTCCAAATCTGTTTGAGGCGGTTGCCGAACACCGCACAAACGAAACAACAAAACCAAACACAACACCGTCGAAACATCCGAAACCGTCATCGTCGAAGCCAAAACTTGCAGTAGGTAAGATACAATGTCGGCATAGAACGTATCCATCAACAACCTGAACCGAACCCCCATGAAAATTCAAAATATCATCACCCCCATGGACGTCATTATCCCACCCACCCCCCCATGTAACGTCTAAATAGTTCATCAAACATTCTTGTAACATGGGCGTCATTACCCCCCCCCCCCCCCCCCCCTGAAATGTAGAGGCCTACTTGTACAGGTTCCACTCAAGTGGCCTATCTAGTGTGTCCATGCTTGACTGCCAATAGGCTCAAGAGGATAAGACTCTGCGTATAAAAGACACTAGCGGTCTGCACCTCAACCGTGTACGCCCTAGTCACTCTTTCAGTGGTAGCGGAGCAGTGATCCTGGAAGACCCAGGTGAGCTCCTTTCCTAGGATAGACTTGCTTTTAGGCAAACGGCCATGGATTGGATTGACGACTGGGAAGAGCCTGATGCGGATGTGGCTTATGAGCCAGCAGCCTATGTGAATAGGCATGTGAGAAGAGAACCAGCAGCTATAGCAATGACAACACAGGTCACTACAAAGGTGCCCCCATCTTATGATGGAAAGACTTCATGGTTTTCCTATGAGGATGCCATAGACGATTGGTGTGATATCACCGAGCTGGAGGATGAGAAGAGAGGACCAGCCTTGAGAAACAGATTAGAAGGAGAAGCAGCTGTATACAAACGCGTTTTAGACAGAGATGCATTGAAGGCGAATGATCCACCAGGAGCTGGAGTAGATTACTTCAAACGAGTACTACGACCATATTTTGTGAAAGGATCAACCAATGTATTCCTGTATAGGTTTATGCAATTCGTGCGATTCAATCGCGGATCAGCTGATATGATGAAGTGGATGACAAGATTTCAGATTTTACTCCAAAGGCTTATGGGCAGTTGGATGGACATGTTGGAGCCAGTCACACAAGCACATCCTCAGGTACAAGCTCAGATGCAAGCTGATGCAATGATGAATGGAATAGCTCCAACAGCGGAAAGAATTCAGGAAATCATGCAGAATATCAATGGCTATTTGAGAAACTTCCATCAGAACGATTTCCCTTTGGGAGAAAATCTCATTGCCTTACTCATGCTGTCACTTGCAGATTTGTCTCAGGACCAGAGGAACACTTTGACTTCTTTGATGACTCATCGTGGTAGGGTCCTACAGCAATATACCACAACAGAATTGAGAACAGTTTTCATTGAGATGTTCTGCACGACAAAGACTTCAGTAGACAATCCTTTGATGCAGCCGACAGGTGGTGGAGGTAGAAGATCATTCCTCGTGCTCGACGAAGGAGAACTCGATGGTACATATGGCTATTGGGCCGAAGATGAAGAAGATGGAACAGAAGGATTTCTAGATGCCCTGGACGATGTCTTTTGGGTATATGATGAACAGAATTTCTCTTGGTTCCAGAGGAGATTCCAAGGAAGAAGAGCCAGAAAAGGAAAAGGAAAAGGAAGAAGAAAAGGAAAAGGCAAAGGAAGATCAGGCCGCAGATTTTTCAGACCTCGTGGAAAAGGAAAAGGAGGAAAAAGACGAGGCAAAGGCCATTTTGCTGATGAGCAACCGCCAAATTATCCAGATGAGTATTTCGAGGAGAATCCTTATGAGGACACTTGGGAGTCAAATCAAGTAGCATATGATGCTATTCTTGCCGAAGATATGAATGACTATCTTCAAGGAGAACATGAAGATGCCAATGACTTTTGGCAACAGCTTGAAGAAGCATGGTTTTCCCACAAGGGAAAAGGAAAAGGCAAGAGAAAAGGCAAGAAAGGAAAAGGAAAAGATAAAGGAGATGGCAAACAAGATGCAAACTATGCAAATCAACAACAGCCACGCTCTTTGCCTGCACCTTCAAGATCTTCACAAGCATCAGGAAGCCACCAAGGTTTCTTTGTGCATTGTGTGACAACAGCAGCTGAAGTCCATGACAGTGAGGTGAACTTGCTGTCAGGCATGATGACCTCATGTCAAGATGAAGCTGACTGTCAGGTCAACAATGGTGAGACGATCTTCGATGGCATGAGTGCCTCTGTGAGGTACTCTTTGTCAAAAGAGATGCTCACAAGTGCTCCTGATGGCTTTGCGCTTATGAGCGCTGAAGAAGAAGTGAAGGAGACGCAGGCTATTTCATTTTTGACTGAGAATCGCTTCCCGCCAACTATTGCAATCCTGGACATTGGATGCACTAGAGCTATGGGATCAAGGCGCGCAGTCGATTATTTTTGTAACTATGTCGACAATCACCCAAACTGTGGATTATGGTACTCTTTTGAGGCTACCAAGAGCAAGTTTTACTTTGCAAATTCTCAAAAGGCTTCTTGCTCTCAGAAACTGGTGATTTACATGTATGATCGTGCATGGACGATCCACAATACAGAGTTCGACATAGTGGAAGAAGGAGAAGTCCCTTTGCTTATGAGCTTGCCACAGATGAGAAACTTAGGCTTTGAACTCAGGCTGACACCTCAACATGCTTATCTGACATCGGTGCCTCTTGGTATCAAATATTTGGAGTTGAAGGTTGCAGCCAGTACTCATCTTGTATTGGACTTCCAAGATATCGCATGGTATTTGTCTGACGTGCGTTTGCAGGCTCGACGTGAGAAGAGTTTTTACTCTCACTTCACTCACTATGAATATGGTCATATTTCTGTTGATCACAATAGTGAGGAAGATGAAGCTGTGCACGCATATCCTGTGGTTGATTACTGGGAAGTAGATGTTCACAAAAGAGAACTGATACGTCACCACAAGGATTATAGGAAGATTCTTTTCCCAGCAACTAAGTCCTGTCCTGTAGACACTGACTTGCTGGAAGACTTGCGATTGACAATCATCAAGAAGAAAGAAGGAGGAGAAGAAATCAAGAAGCTAGATGATTGGCGCAAGGCAAAATGGAAGAACCTACAAATTGGCTATGAATGGCGTGGTAGAACAATTTTTAAGTTCAAGCCAGATGCCAAAATTCCAGATCTAAAGATCAGGAAGGCTGGCATTGAGCACCGTGGCGTTGGTGATCCCAATGCAGTGGTGCGCTCCTCCTCAGAGAAGGTTCCCATTGCAAGGAACAGGGAACCAGGCTTCTCTTCAGAGAAGGAAGGTGTACCATCCAGTGCCGCGGAAAAGCCTGTGCCACCAAAGTTTCGGTATACATCCAAGGGTTACGATCCATTTTGGAAAGGACACAAGTTGAAACCATCTGAGCCTCCACATGATTTAAAGGGTGATGATCTTGAGGAGTATACTCCCTCAGAACCACCTGAGAGGCCAGAAGGTGAACTTGTGGAAATTCCTAAAGCATCAAAAGGACCATCAAGTGATAAACATGAACCACTTGAACCAGGTGATGGCGCTCTTGAGCCTAGGCGGATTTCAATCCCATTACCTGGTAGTGAAGTTGTTGCAATGACACCGGCATATAGGAAGATGTTGCAGAGACTGGAGGACAAGGTAGAACTTTACAAGCTTCATGTGAAGCACTACCATATGAGTCCTACTCAGTTTCGTAGGCGTGTTTCTATGTTGAAGCTTCCTGACTCTGTTTTAGAGAAGTATGAATCAGTCGTCAGGAACTGCCGTGTTTGTAACACTTCAGTGGCACCTCCGCCACGAGCCAGAGTCTCCGGTATTAGAGCTTCATGTTTTGGTGATGTTGTTTTTGCTGATCATTGTGAGGTTGAACTTCACAAGAACAAGTATATCATTCTACTTGTTCTTGATGGTGCCACAAATCTTCTCTGGGCTACGGCGCAGAAAGACCTCATAGATCAAACCACCATCCAAGCATTGAGGCAGTGGTCTGATGAGAACAACTGTGTTCCGAAGGCCATCGTAGGGGACGAAGCCTTTTTCACAGATGCTTTTGTTGAATACTACAGGTTCCATGGTATACAACAATGTCCTTGTGGGCCAAGAACTCCTTGGCCGAACCGAGCAGAGACAGCTGTACGTTTGTTCAAACGTATGTG